AGAGAGAGGCATAAACTCGTAATGAATTGTAGTTGATGATTAAATAAATGGTGGTAATGAAGTTGATAACAATATCAATGGAACCGATTTGAAGGTCTACCGGTGAAGCAGTATTTGGGTAGCTTTTTGGTGAGTGAAGATGCAGTTGTGTTGCCGGGTACGTCACTGAGTGTGTGTCATTTCAAGGTTGGTCAGTACATAAGCGTATCTGGTAAAACGATCGATTGGGGTTTCCAAGGAGGAATGCACAGATGGGGTATGAAGGGCATGCCTGCCAACAGGTAATTTCTGGTTTGATTACCGCCATGCTTATTGGAACATTATAGTTAAGATTAAGATCGTGTTGTAGAATTTATTTACTTTCTATCATCACAAGGATAGTGGTTTTTGATGTAATACTTTAATTGTTGATGCAATCTCTCGATAAAAGGAATATTTTTTGGGATAGAAATGATTTCTTTTCTATGATAACGCGATATGTTGATTTAAAAAGTCGTGAATGTTGTTAGTGATAACGGTGATGATATCGGCAATGATCATGTTAAATGATAATGATAGTAATAATGAAAAGGTAATATTGTACCAATGCAAAATTACAGAACAACAAAGTCACACCGTCGTATCGGTTCAGTGGGATCAACGGGTGATGCGAGGATATGGCCTGGCAAAAGAATGCCTGGTCATATGGGCTACGAATGGGTCAATACAAGTGGTCTTGAAGTACTTCGAATCAATCCCAGTAAACAGGTCATTTTATCCCTTACCTTATCCACTTTATTGCTGCTCTCATCGATATTAATGTTCAATTTATAACATTCGATGATGTTTTAACATAATTCGATGATGTCTTAACGTCACGTTCGTTTCTGATTATTGAAATGATTCGCAGTCAATGTGTAACTGTTTGTTTGGAACAGTCAACTTTTTGGTTCAATTTGAAAATTTGTTCCAGAATTTTACACGTTCACAGAGGATGAATTATTTTTTAAAGTGAAATAGCTTCTGAATGTCTATTTACGAAATTCTT